TGCTTGTGTTACAATTTAAAGGATAAAGTTTTTGAAGGTTTTAAACATTTTTATTTAGAGTATCTGATCTTATTTATGTAATATGTTTTTGAGATATAGCAACACTGGTGATGATTATCAGTGGTAATAAATAGCAAACCTCATATTCTAATTTACAAAACTAGAGTTCTCAAATATTTTCTATTTTATATATTCTTGTTCTAGGTATTTGATAGTTACAAACCTTATAGTTAACAAAAGTTCTTTTTCCTAATCCTGTCTGATAATATTCTTGACTTTGTAGATTATCATATTCCAAACTTTCATAATAGGTTTTATAGCAAGAGGTATAGACAAGTTGATTATTTGGTTGATATAATCTATCTGGTACTTGAGAAGTTAGATATTGGTAGTAATGATAAATTCTATACTATTGTAATAAGCTAATTTTCTAGCTTCTTTATCACAACTACAATAATAAGTTAAATTATTCAGTTTTTTTTTTAAGTATCAAAAGTAATCTCTTTGGCTATAACTTTTTTTATTAGAAGTTAAATTTTAGTTACAACAAAGATACAACTAGTCACATATACAACTTTTAATTATTTATTTTAAATAGTTTGCCTAAGTTTTATACTAGTCACTATATCTATAATCTAACTAGAAGATTATTTATTTAAGCTTTCTGGTTTTTACAAATGAGAGTACAACTAGCCACACATACAACTTTTAATTGTCTATTTAAGTAGTTTGCACTAGATTTTATACTAGCTACTATATCTGTAACCCAACTAGAAGATTATCTATTTAAATTCTCTAATCATAACTTAATTTCACCAAGTAAGGTCTCCTAACTTGATTGCCCAAATTTTGTTTGTACCTTAGGACTTACTAACTCTAGGCTAGTCTATCCTCAAGATAAATCTACTAGAGCCTTCTATATCCTATTTTGGCTAATCTGGTATTGCAGTTGCCAAGTAGTGATCCAAATTGTTAATTGAAAAAACAACTAGTTGACTAATCGATTAGAAATTTTTTAATCAACTAATTGTTGGTTGATTGTCTACATAGTGAATTTAAAACGTAAAATTTTTTTAGCCAATCAGAACAGGTTA